CCTGCACGAGTGCCTGCGGGCCTACTTCACGGTCGGCGCGCTCTTCCTCCCGCACACGGCGCCGACCGAGCTGGAGCCGAGTTTGGTCTTCCTGCAGGCCCTCCGCGCGGTCCCCGCGGAGGTCCCGGTTCGCGAGCTCCACACGGACTGGCTGCCGTTGCTCCTCGCGCTGCTGACGGCGCCCCGCGCGGCGGCCCCCGCGGGGCCGGTCCACTCCAAGCCGATCCCCCTCTCGGCCGAGGCCTGGATCCCGTTCAACGACGTCTGCGATCTGAACAAGCGCCGGGGCCCCCGGTGCGGCGCGCCGGCCGAGGACATCCCCTACGTCGTCGTGGAGGGGGGCCCGAGGCCGACCTCGCGGCGGGCCCATCAAAGGGGGAATTCCTCCGCGAGATCATCATCGCCCCCCTGGCCTACCGCCTGCTGCCGCCGATGGTGCGGCTGCTGGAGCGGTCGGGGGTGGAGAGCGGGCTCTCGTTTCGCTTCACCGGCGGGTCGCTCGGGGTGCTGGCCGGGCTCCTGCGCTACTACGCGGGGTTTCTGGACCGCGCGGCGGCCCCGGCGGGCCGGTGGGGCGGGGAGGCCGAGGGGAGCGCGGCGGCGCGGATGGAGCGGCAGGGCTACGTCCTGCTCCGCCGGGTCGCCCTCTGGGGGGCGGTGGAGGGCAAAAAGGGCGGGAAGAGGCTCGAGGCGGTGCAGGAGCTGCACCAGAAATACGCCAGCCTGGACTACGAACCCCACGGCGGCGCCGACGCCGCCGCCGTCTCCCCGCACGGGAGCGAGAGCGATCTCGACTCGAACGCCTGCCCGAGCGCCCACATCGCGCACGGCGAGCAGCAAAAGATGATGGACCTGATGGACGCCCACGCCACCCAACTCGGCCTGCCCTTCCGGAGCCCCGAATGCTTCGCCCTCTTCGACGCCATCGCGGCCTACCTGCGCGTGCTGGATCGCCTGAAGGCCGAATACCCCGCCCGACGCCGGCCGTTCTCCGCCGTGGAGGAGTCCCAAACCGCGGGAAAGGGGGGGGCGGACGGGCGATCGCCCCGGCCCGAGCTCTTTGAGATCGCCATTTTGGCGAATTATTACGAGAAGGAAGCGGAGGCGCGGGCGGAGCCCGCGGGGAGGGGCGAGCGGCACCCCCGCAAGCCCGCCCCCCCAACGCCCCCGGGGAAAACGAAAAATTGGCCGAAACGACTACGGATGTGGTGGGGTCGATGCTGGGGCAAAGGGGGGAACCGCCAGCGCGACAAGGAAAGCCCCCTGCGCGGCCCCACCTCGTCTCGGAAGAAACAAAAACGCGGGAATTTTTATGTCAATCTGGCGCACACCGCGAGGGGGGTGGGCGCGATGTGGGGTAAAGGCGAAATGTTTAACGGCAAATGCAAAAACAAACTTCTTTATAAAACCACCGCCTCCTTTTCCCATCGCTGGAGCTACGCACTAAAAGGCACCGATGGGTTTTACTGCGGCGGCGAGGAGGACCCCTCGCAGATGCCGTCGCTGAACTTATGGCAAAAGGAATCGCACAAGTTGTTTAAGTTTATGGCCAAATGCCTCGAGCGGTACTGCGCGCGGCGGGTGAAAGGAAAGGACGGGGTCGATCCCTATCTCCGCCGAATCCGCATCGCCCTAATCTCCGATAAAAAGCTCTAAGGCGCGTCGCATTCGATTAGCGCTCAGGCCAAAGCCCTGTAGGCAAATATACACACATAAGGTATATGGGGGTGCAAGGTCCAATTGAAGCGGCCTCTCGCTTTCCCTCCTGTCGCCCAGAGAGGACAACAGGGAACGATGCGTACACACACTAAACCGTAGGAGATCTTTGCCTATTCGGGATTTATATAGAGAGAGATATAGATATAGATAGATATATCTATTGAAATCTATTGTTTTCTTTCCTTCCCAGTCGCTTCACCTCATCGTGCTAAATATAGAGAGAGATTAAAATTCGTTTTTCCTTTAGTGGATTGGTTGTGAAAAGAAAAGGCGGACACGCCTTTAAGATTCATTTTTTTATTCATACGCACCTGGCTAAACAAAGAAAGCAGGGATAAATTGCATTTTTAACCACAAAGGAACGAAAAACGATGGGGGTCCCCTCACCATACGAATAAAAATTTATAAACAATAAGTGATAGGATTCTTTACCCCGAGGGTGACATTTTTACGAGGCGGATATCCGCCTCCCCCTTTGTGTTCCACCAATTTGAATTATAGACCCTTTCCAATGCCAAAAAAATAAATAAAAAAAAAAATCCATCCACCA